GATCTATGGTATGTACCAATAGTGAGGACCTTAGAGAGTGAGCTCCTCCATTGAACAAGTATTGATCTATGGTATGTACCAATACTGTGGACCTTAGAGTGTGAGGTCCTTCAGGGAACAGGGGCTGCAGTATGGTATGTACCAATAGTAAGTACTAATTGTGAGAACCTTAGAGTGTGAGTTTCTCCTGGGGACAGGGGCTGATTAGTGGTATGTACTAATGGTGCGGACCTCAGAGTGTAAGCTCTTCCCGGTTACAGGGACTGATCTATGGTATGTACCGTAATGCACTGAGGAATATACAGGCACTATATGCACACGAGAAATAACCAATAACAATGTATCCCAATGCACATAGGCAGCACAGTGGATTGGTCCCTCTCCCCTGGGTTCCCTATTTTGTATCGGATAATTATCCCAGGTCTCATAGACTGACCTTGCCTTCTGAGACAGTCTATGAGACCTGGGGAGCAGGGGGACCATTTACGAGGAAGGACAGTTTACGAGGAAGGACTGTTTACGAGGAAGGATTTTGAAGGACAGTCCTGCAGATAAAGTATTACTTGGCAACAATGGCTGAAGTCCAGCCTTTAGCTCAGAGAGTGCCTGGGATCACATTGACGACCCCCCTACAAATTGGCCCCAGATTGGCCACAGACTAATCTGGAGAACACTTCCAGGTATGTTATGGGAGAAGCAGGGTTGCTACACATACAGTTTCAGTTCTCCCAACAAGTGGCTTCCTGGGAGATCCGGATATCCTGGCAGAAGTGCGTTGTGCGTGGGAATAACGCTCTCTCATCACTGCAGAATGTTTCCGGTTCTGTGCGCTCACTTATGTGCAATATTGTCAGTGACAACAAATCCTTTATTAAGTGTTCAATGACTTCACCCAACCTGTCGCCATCCATAACAGGAAACCGAGCAAGGCGTCCGTTATAGCAGTGGTTCTCAACATGTGTAACCTCAGGACCCACATTTATCCTTGGTCATCAAGTCGCGACCCAAGTCTGCAATGTCTGCACTGCAATGGAACGCACAACATTAGGGTACCTTGTGTTCCAGTGCGGGCGTACAAACTGTGGGTGGGAGGTGCGTTTGGGGTACATTCAAATAAATGGCAACGCAACACACCTCCCACACCAGAATGCATAGTAGGTGCAACTGGGTGGTACAGCGCATTAATCACATGGTACTATGCAATTAACGCACTGTACTATAGTGAACAGGCCCTTTCTTTTTTGTTTTTTAAAGTCCACCAAGTCTCCCTACCTTACAAGAGCTGAAGTAGATCCTAAGCCTGGGGTCCATTGTGGGCTGCTGTGCTGTGACGGAGCTCCGTCCATATGTGGATTGCTTGTACAGCTCCCTTACAAGCCCTGTAGGAGGTGCCGGGAGCCAGAATGTGATGCCACTGGTGCAGGCACCTCTATCAGACACTGAGGGAGCTGTAAGCAATGCACACATGGATGGAGTCCCCTCGTGGCCATACCCCCAGCCCACCTCAAGCTGGGACTCTGCACCGGGCAGCATATTTTGAATCGCTGCTTGGCACGAGAACTGACAGTGCTGCGCTAGGGGGAGGCAGAGGAGCCTCCCACCTAGAAAAGTGGAAGGCACGCGGCGACCCACTGAACACGGGCTCGCGACCCACTTTTGGGTCACGACCCACCAGTTGAGAACCAAGGCGTTATAGTGTTATTGAACCCGAATAATAAAAAAAAATGCCATCACACAGCCACACTTACATGTAAGCCGCTTTGATATGTAGCAGGGGCGTAACTAGCAATCACAGGGCCCCATAGCAAAATGTTTGTATGGGGCCCTGTGATTTCTAGTTACGTCCCTTGCAGAGCCCACCTGAGATCCCAAACAGCTCACCTGAGAGTGACCCTGCGAGACCACCATCGACTCTATGGTGGGCTCTGCAGGGTCTCAGGTGGGCTAGTCACACAATTCAAGTCCCCTATTCCATTCTTCGTCTAAGACCTACTAAGGATCAAGTGAGTTTTATTATTCCCTGATCCTTAAAACCCATACAATTCAAAGAGGGTGTACTTTCTTTTTCACACGACTGTAAATCAAGTGATTACAAAAGTATCAGGCCCCGTTCACACTGAGCGATTTATCGTGCGATTTTTGCAGCAATAGCGCTCATATTTCCACACGATATTGCTCTATGTAGCTTCTCCAATACATTTCAATGGAGCTGTTCACATCTCGTCGCTCAATATCGCTCAATATCGCTTGTAGCTCGTCGCTGGTAGCTTGTCGCTCCTACATGACCCTTTTTTAGAGCGATTTTGAGCGATATTGCTCCTGATTGCATACAGCCCAATAGGAAACACGTTGCTCAATATCGCTCAATATCGCTCGTCGCGCAATATCGCTCAAAGTTGCGCGATTTTCATGTCGCTCAGTCTGAATGGGGCCTTAGTTGAAACAGAATGCCTGGATTGGGAGAATGACCTGTGACAATGAGACTGTCACAGGACGGCTCAGTAGATCGGGAGGTGAGTGAACACATACCGGCGTTCGCTCACCTCTCGATCCTGTCGCGGGTTTCTGCCGTGACAGGGGAGGGGCTGGATTCCCCCCTCTCCGATCCGCCAGCGCTGACTGGCGGAACGGACGGGGGAGGGGGCGGGAACAGCTGGCTCTGCCTTTAGATAGGCAGAGCCAGCTGTCACTCACGCAGCTGGGCGGATCTCGACATCGATGTCAGGATCCGCTGCGGCGTCTCAGTATACAGCTCGCGGTATACTGAGCCTCGGGTGAAGGGAGGACACTAGTTTGTGTCCTCCCGTTACCCTAAGGAGAACTATGGGGAAAAGCCCTGACCCCATAGTTCTCCTTTAATACTACGTTATGTACAATGACGATGGGCTGTGTGGTTACTCTCCCTGCACTTGTCTCAGTCACGGCACGCATTCCGATAATCTGTTTACACACCAAACCTCCATTGCATCACTCGTGTTCCCGAGTCCGCACAGGAAATGAGCACGACAAAAAAAAAAATATGTAAAAATAAAGCCGATACTTCCACAATTCCAGCGCAGAGATTGTGCTGCCAGATGAGCAGAAGATGAGTCACTAAAGGAGCCTCAGGACTTAGGCCCGGTTCACACCTGGGCGTTTTGTAGCGCATTCCCACGCTCTGCAAAACTCTCAAACACCGAAATCACATCATTTCCTATGGGTATGGTTCACACCTGGGCGTATTACAGGCCGTATGAACGCGCTACAAAACGTCCTACGCCCAAAGAAGTACAGGAGCTTCTTTGGGGGCGTTTTTGTCGCGCGTATCCATTGGATACGCGGGTTTTTTTACCGCAAATTGCGCAACGCGAAACGCGCGACAAACGCGCATATTCGATACGCCTAGGTGTGAACCCAGCCTTACAGCGCCTGAAACATCGACAGCCTTGGGTCACCCGCAGCAACCAATCAGCATCTCTCAAATTACAGGAGGAAGAAAATGATTGGCTGCTATGGACGGCAGTCTGTCCCCCAGAAATGGTTCATCTTTAAGGCCTCATTCACACTGCCGCGCGTACTGTACCATATGCAACACATGCAAATGAATGGCTCCATACACATAGCCGCGCATGGAGCCGTATATTTGCGTAGCGTATATATGCGCAAAAACAGAATGGAACAGAGATGCGTCCGGGCAGCGTGCTTCTGCGTAGTTACGCACACATACGCGTGTTTACACGCGTATACGCACGTACATGCGTACAGCACATTAAAAAAACTGAGTTAGGTACCTGGTAACTCGGTTTCCAGGAATCTTCCAGGACAGCATCAGAGACTCTCTCTCAGATGCTGTCCTGGAAGATTACTTGGGAAATTCCATGACGAGTGATGCATTCTGGGATTGCATATACGCTTGTATCTACGCCATATACAATTTTGCTTGCGTTGGGTGTGAATGAAGCCTAAATCCGAATAAATAGAATCACGACTCCCTCTTATTTTATTGGTCACCCCGGAGGATGAACAACGAGCACAACGTCAGAAACCAAATAAGTATGGCGGCCGCCATGGCCAACACCCCCTTCTGCAAATGCCGCTTCCCTGGCTGTCACCCTGATCCGGCGCCAATGACATGAAAGCAGCATGTGGATGGGGAGCTTTGACTTCACCGACTCCTTTAATTGCTTGTTCTGGGCTTAAAGCAGAACTCCAGACAAAAGAAGATAAAAATTACCAACAACAAAAACCCCAAAAAGGCAATATTCACCTTTAATCCAGATTTGCTCCGCAGTGCTTTTTCTGCTACTGGATGTCCTGTGATTGCCGGAATGATTCAACCCGCTTCCTCTGAGCCCAGGCCGTCCTGGACCCGCCCCCTGCCTGTGACTGAACCGTAAAAGGAGCAGCAGCACAGGGATAAGCTCATCTCTGCCATTCTGCTCTCTCCTTCTATCAGCATGCTTTTAGTCAGCACGTGAACCGACTGACTCTTCTTGTGCTCTTCGCCTTCCCTTTCCCCCCCCCCCCCCCTCCAGCTCACAACCCAGTGTACATGTAATCTATTGTATTGTCTGCATTCGTTTCCTCTTTTCAAGCTTTTATTATCAGTTGGTGATCAAGCCAGTAATACACTTCCTGTCCTAGGCTGACAACACTCAATGTACTGTATCTATGAAGCAACAGCGTTGTCAACTGAAGGCAAGACTATAGAACTCCTCATCACAGAGGGGAGGTGTTTTGTAGTGCACGGAGATAGTTGGGGACAATGTAGCTGTTAGCATTGGCTGCACTCGTTTCCTTTTTTCAGGCTTTTTGTAATTAGGTGATCCAGCCGGTAACACACTTCCTGTCCTAGACATCTGGCTTTTGTCAGATCAGCATGAAGATTTCAAACACGGCACGAGTCAAGAACGCACCACAGGCATAACGCAGCAGTAAAAACATCACGTCTGATGGGATGCCAGTTATCATTTAGCTTTAGTCGAATGCAAACAAATCGTCTCCAGTGACAGGCCCCTCACCTGACCACGTCGGGGTCCGGCCCATCATTCGACAGGGACATCTGAAGCTGCCGTTCTTTGGTCAACAGCTCATCGATGAGGTTCTGCCTTCGATCCCCTTCCAGCTGGGTGCTATGGAGGTTGCAAGTTAAGTTTTCACACCATTTGTTGCGGGGAAATTCCTTCTTACTGCAAATACTAGCTACAAGTCTTAAAGCTGAATATTAACCCCCCCCCCACACACACACACACACAGCAATCAACATGCTAATTCAATGTTTAACTAAAACCTGTTTCCAATACATACCCCATTATAGTGCCAGTGATGTCATCACCGGGTCTTTATTCTTCTCTATGCAATGCAGACTGATCATGGCTGGTGGGAGGGGCCCGCAGGGTGCTGTACATAGCTTCCTGAACACATCACAGCAGCCTGCCTCTGTACTGCTCTCAAGAACCTCAGCCCTGATGCAGGGCTGAAGGGGAGGACGGAGGTCAGGTACAAGACTGAAGGGGAGGACGGAGGTCCGGTACAAGACTGAAGGGGAGGACGGAGGTCCGGTACAAGACTGAAGGGGAGGACGGAGGTCCGGTACAAGACTGAAGGGGAGGACGGAGGTCCGGTACAAGACTGAAGGGGAGGACGGAGGTCCGGTACAAGACTGAAGGGGAGGACGGAGGTCCGGTACAAGACTGAAGGGGAGGACGGAGGTCCGGTACAAGACTGAAGGGGAGGACGGAGGTCCGGTACAAGACTGAAGGGGAGGACGGAGGTCCGGTACAAGACTGAAGGGGAGGACGGAGGTCCGGTACAAGACTGAAGGGGAGGACGGAGGTCCGGTACAAGACTGAAGGGGAGGACGGAGGTCCGGTACAAGACTGAAGGGGAGGACGGAGGTCCGGTACAAGACTGAAGGGGAGGACGGAGGTCCGGTACAAGACTGAAGGGGAGGACGGAGGTCCGGTACAAGACTGAAGGGGAGGACGGAGGTCCGGTACAAGACTGAAGGGGAGGACGGAGGTCCGGTACAAGACTGAAGGGGAGGACGGAGGTCCGGTACAAGACTGAAGGGGAGGACGGAGGTCCGGTACAAGACTGAAGGGGAGGACGGAGGTCCGGTACAAGACTGAAGGGGAGGACGGAGGTCCGGTACAAGACTGAAGGGGAGGACGGAGGTCCGGTACAAGACTGAAGGGGAGGACGGAGGTCCGGTACAAGACTGAAGGGGAGGACGGAGGTCCGGTACAAGACTGAAGGGGAGGACGGAGGTCCGGTACAAGACTGAAGGGGAGGACGGAGGTCCGGTACAAGACTGAAGGGGAGGACGGAGGTCCGGTACAAGACTGAAGGGGAGGACGGAGGTCCGGTACAAGACTGAAGGGGAGGACGGAGGTCCGGTACAAGACTGAAGGGGAGGACGGAGGTCCGGTACAAGACTGAAGGGGAGGACGGAGGTCCGGTACAAGACTGAAGGGGAGGACGGAGGTCCGGTACAAGACTGAAGGGGAGGACGGAGGTCCGGTACAAGACTGAAGGGGAGGACGGAGGTCCGGTACAAGACTGAAGGGGAGGACGGAGGTCCGGTACAAGACTGAAGGGGAGGACGGAGGTCCGGTACAAGACTGAAGGGGAGGACGGAGGTCCGGTACAAGACTGAAGGGGAGGACGGAGGTCCGGTACAAGACTGAAGGGGAGGACGGAGGTCCGGTACAAGACTGAAGGGGAGGACGGAGGTCCGGTACAAGACTGAAGGGGAGGACGGAGGTCCGGTACAAGACTGAAGGGGAGGACGGAGGTCCGGTACAAGACTGAAGGGGAGGACGGAGGTCCGGTACAAGACTGAAGGGGAGGACGGAGGTCCGGTACAAGACTGAAGGGGAGGACGGAGGTCCGGTACAAGACTGAAGGGGAGGACGGAGGTCCGGTACAAGACTGAAGGGGAGGACGGAGGTCCGGTACAAGACTGAAGGGGAGGACGGAGGTCCGGTACAAGACTGAAGGGGAGGACGGAGGTCCGGTACAAGACTGAAGGGGAGGACGGAGGTCCGGTACAAGACTGAAGGGGAGGACGGAGGTCCGGTACAAGACTGAAGGGGAGGACGGAGGTCCGGTACAAGACTGAAGGGGAGGACGGAGGTCCGGTACAAGACTGAAGGGGAGGACGGAGGTCCGGTACAAGACTGAAGGGGAGGACGGAGGTCCGGTACAAGACTGAAGGGGAGGACGGAGGTCCGGTACAAGACTGAAGGGGAGGACGGAGGTCCGGTACAAGACTGAAGGGGAGGACGGAGGTCCGGTACAAGACTGAAGGGGAGGACGGAGGTCCGGTACAAGACTGAAGGGGAGGACGGAGGTCCGGTACAAGACTGAAGGGGAGGACGGAGGTCCGGTACAAGACTGAAGGGGAGGACGGAGGTCCGGTACAAGACTGAAGGGGAGGACGGAGGTCCGGTACAAGACTGAAGGGGAGGACGGAGGTCCGGTACAAGACTGAAGGGGAGGACGGAGGTCCGGTACAAGACTGAAGGGGAGGACGGAGGTCCGGTACAAGACTGAAGGGGAGGACGGAGGTCCGGTACAAGACTGAAGGGGAGGACGGAGGTCCGGTACAAGACTGAAGGGGAGGACGGAGGTCCGGTACAAGACTGAAGGGGAGGACGGAGGTCCGGTACAAGACTGAAGGGGAGGACGGAGGTCCGGTACAAGACTGAAGGGGAGGACGGAGGTCCGGTACAAGACTGAAGGGGAGGACGGAGGTCCGGTACAAGACTGAAGGGGAGGACGGAGGTCCGGTACAAGACTGAAGGGGAGGACGGAGGTCCGGTACAAGACTGAAGGGGAGGACGGAGGTCCGGTACAAGACTGAAGGGGAGGACGGAGGTCCGGTACAAGACTGAAGGGGAGGACGGAGGTCCGGTACAAGACTGAAGGGGAGGACGGAGGTCCGGTACAAGACTGAAGGGGAGGACGGAGGTCCGGTACAAGACTGAAGGGGAGGACGGAGGTCCGGTACAAGACTGAAGGGGAGGACGGAGGTCCGGTACAAGACTGAAGGGGAGGACGGAGGTCCGGTACAAGACTGAAGGGGAGGACGGAGGTCCGGTACAAGACTGAAGGGGAGGACGGAGGTCCGGTACAAGACTGAAGGGGAGGACGGAGGTCCGGTACAAGACTGAAGGGGAGGACGGAGGTCCGGTACAAGACTGAAGGGGAGGACGGAGGTCCGGTACAAGACTGAAGGGGAGGACGGAGGTCCGGTACAAGACTGAAGGGGAGGACGGAGGTCCGGTACAAGACTGAAGGGGAGGACGGAGGTCCGGTACAAGACTGAAGGGGAGGACGGAGGTCCGGTACAAGACTGAAGGGGAGGACGGAGGTCCGGTACAAGACTGAAGGGGAGGACGGAGGTCCGGTACAAGACTGAAGGGGAGGACGGAGGTCCGGTACAAGACTGAAGGGGAGGACGGAGGTCCGGTACAAGACTGAAGGGGAGGACGGAGGTCCGGTACAAGACTGAAGGGGAGGACGGAGGTCCGGTACAAGACTGAAGGGGAGGACGGAGGTCCGGTACAAGACTGAAGGGGAGGACGGAGGTCCGGTACAAGACTGAAGGGGAGGACGGAGGTCCGGTACAAGACTGAAGGGGAGGACGGAGGTCCGGTACAAGACTGAAGGGGAGGACGGAGGTCCGGTACAAGACTGAAGGGGAGGACGGAGGTCCGGTACAAGACTGAAGGGGAGGACGGAGGTCCGGTACAAGACTGAAGGGGAGGACGGAGGTCCGGTACAAGACTGAAGGGGAGGACGGAGGTCCGGTACAAGACTGAAGGGGAGGACGGAGGTCCGGTACAAGACTGAAGGGGAGGACGGAGGTCCGGTACAAGACTGAAGGGGAGGACGGAGGTCCGGTACAAGACTGAAGGGGAGGACGGAGGTCCGGTACAAGACTGAAGGGGAGGACGGAGGTCCGGTACAAGACTGAAGGGGAGGACGGAGGTCCGGTACAAGACTGAAGGGGAGGACGGAGGTCCGGTACAAGACTGAAGGGGAGGACGGAGGTCCGGTACAAGACTGAAGGGGAGGACGGAGGTCCGGTACAAGACTGAAGGGGAGGACGGAGGTCCGGTACAAGACTGAAGGGGAGGACGGAGGTCCGGTACAAGACTGAAGGGGAGGACGGAGGTCCGGTACAAGACTGAAGGGGAGGACGGAGGTCCGGTACAAGACTGAAGGGGAGGACGGAGGTCCGGTACAAGACTGAAGGGGAGGACGGAGGTCCGGTACAAGACTGAAGGGGAGGACGGAGGTCCGGTACAAGACTGAAGGGGAGGACGGAGGTCGGGTACAAGACTGAAGGGAAGGTCTTTGCCCCGGTTGCAGATTTCCCCCTGACTTCCTGTTTGGTGACACCATTGTCAGCCAGACAGGAAGTGAGGATATATTTCTATAACAGAGCCCAGCATAGCACTATAAACATGACTGGGGTACTAACCCTTCCCTAATCTATCCAAAACTAGAAAAGGAGTTTGGCTGGCTGTACACTTTAAGTGATGTGACCGGATTCCAGACAACGCTCTCAATTCACTGCGCTACAGCACCTCCCCAATCATCATTATTCCCTGTCATGTGACTCTTATTTTCAACTCCCATTGGCAAAAATAAAAACAGTTATTGCGACATACAGCGACTGATCTGGCTCCGTGATTGGAGCCCTGTGAAAGCAAACATCTGATTGGTGCTGATGGACAGAACGGGCTCTGTTCTTGTTTTCTCGAGGTCACCCATTGCGTTATTTCCCTTCTCCTCAGAGAGAAGGCAATGTGGCGGCCAGCACACGGCGCACGTGAAGGATACATCTGACGCGTGGACACCGATCTCAGGAGGGAATCCCTCAGCTGTGCGATCCGCTCGTTCAGTTTCTTCACGAGAGAGCGAATGGTCACCGTGATCTGAGCGAGGAGAGAGAGAGGGGAACGATAAGAGGCCAAGACGATTTTTATAACGTTATCAAATATATACACAAATAATTAGACAAAAATAGAACATCAAAGAGCAAAGCAAGGAAGACATTTGTTTTCTGTCACATTTAATAAACCAAATAAAATAAACAGCAAACATGTCAAGCCTTAAAGTTGCGTGCACCTGCGAAATCAAGCCCCCTATGTGATAGCACAGACAGAGCGACAGGTCCTCTTTATGGAGACATCAGGGGTCTATCAGACCTATAATGTCCCCTAGGGACCCCTAAAGAAGCTGATGAAGCATAGATCTGCTTCACCAGCCGGATAAAATGATAGCTGAAACTGGAAGCGATGTAATAGAAGTTGCTTCCAGGTTCGGTGATCGGAGGGGAGTTCAGATGGTGGATGTGGGCTGATCTCCCTCCCATCAAACAGCAGAGATCCCCTGTGACGCTCCCGGGCCGCACAGGGGACAGCAGAGCCCAGGAGAGCAAGCAGCAGGTGGAGGGGGGGGGGGGGGGGGGGGCACACACTCCCTGGCATCATACCAGCGATCGGACAGATCCATGGTCATCCGAACGCTTGTATGTAACAGCAATCACCGGCTGTTTAAAATGTGTAAACTTTCCCACTTGTGTGCAGGCAGGGGCAGTGGTGTCACAAGGAGGGTGGTGCCCGCACCTGGGTGCCACCATTGGAGGGGGGACACCAAAATGACTGACATTTTGGTGTCACCCCCCTATGAAAAGTCGGGCACTCGGTTGCAGACCGAGTGCCCGACAGTGTCAAGAGAGAGGAGGGGCCCCCCCCTCCCGCCGGGTGAACATCCCCTCCTCTCTCTGCTGTCGTCCACCACCAAGATGGCGTCAATAAGACAACCCAACCTAAAACATGGCCGCCATGTTTATCTATTTGCGTGTCTGTTGCACTAATACCACCGAGTTTGGTTGGCAATCACAACGTGTACTGTATGTATCGAATTATTTCAGTCAGTAGCTTTCTTTATTCATTCAATCATTTCAGTGAGATTCAACGAATGCGAGAACCAATCACAACGATCGCAGGAGCAATCTCGTTGTGACGGTCCTCAGAGCCAATCACAATGATCGGTGTGAAGATCCTCTTAAAGGGCCGGCGGGAGCTTGGCAGACGAGCCAACGTCAGATGAACATACAGCCGCTGAGCTGCTCACTGTGTTTACGTTTTGGAAATGTTATTTTGGGAAGAGAACGGAGATCAGAGGCCGAGGATTGATGAGTAAATGTTTGCTATATACAAAGGCCGCGCGGGTAATTACAGAGCCGCGTGTTCCTCCAAAACAAAATCCATCCCGAGCAGCAACATCGGGTCAGCGGCTACATGAGCAAAACAACCCATCCGAAAAGAGCAGATGGAGATCGGGGCTTGTAAAGGTGCCATATTGTGAATGAGAGGAACACAAGGCCAATATTTCATCATTTATTTGTAAAAATAAAGGGAGCATGGAGCCAGCATCCTTTCCAATCAGGAAGCCGGGAGGTGGGTTATGACCCGCCTCCCGACTTGCTGATTAGCAACGAGTGAAGCCAGCTTTCTAGCCAGGCAGCCTGACTTCCTGATCAATCAGGAAGCCGGACAGCACCACATGACCCGCCACCCGGCATCCTGATTGGTCAGGAACTGAAGATGTCACTAAAGGTATTAAAAGGAGAACTATGAGGTGCGTGCTTTTCACTCACCTCACAGTTCTAGCCGACCTGTGACAATGAGACTGTCACAGGTCGGCTCAGTAGATCGGGAGGTGAGTGAACACATACCGGCGTTCGCTCACCTCTCGGTCCTGTCGCGGGTTTCTGCCGTGACAGGTGAGGGGCTGGATTCCCCCCTCCGATCCGCCAGCGCTGACTGGCGGAACGGACGGGGGAGGGAACAGCTGGCTCTGCCTCTAGATAGGCAGAGCCAGCTGTCACTCACGCAGCTGGGCGGATCTCGACATCGATGTCAGGATCCGCTGCGGCGTCTCAGTATACAGCTCGCGGTATACTCGCGGTATGGGGAAAAGCCCTGACCCCATAGTTCTCCTTTAAATGAAACTAGACAAAAAGATATTTTGCCATAGTGGTCCTGTAAGAAATTGGTTTAAAAATGACAGTTCATCCCGTTACCAGACCCCTCCCCCCATGACTTACCCTGGCTGGATTCTCCCCATTCCGCAAGCATCGTTCCCTGAGGTGGATCTTCTCGGCGATCTCCTGGGCGAGGTGGTACGTGTCGTCGTATATCGATAACCTGCATCCACAATACACAGAAAACTCAGTAATACATCAATATCTTAAACACTTGGGGGGGAGAGGGGGGGCTATTGATAAACAATTCGCAGAGCCATTCGACCTGCAGATCTCTGAACATTCCGTGTAAATGGCTGCACAGAATGAACGTGGTTAGCATGTAATTGTAATCTCAAATGTCATTATGTAATGTAGCATTATGGCCACTGGATGGCGCTGAGGAGCATAGGAAACAAATGCATCTTCCCTATGCTCCTCAGCCCCCTCTAATGGCCATAATAGAAATAAATGCATCTTTCCTAAGCTCCTCAGCCCCCTCTAGTGGCCATAATAGAAATTAATACATCTTTCCTAAGCTCATCAGCCCCCTCTAGTGGCCATAATAGAAATTAACACATCGTTCCTATGCTCCTCAGCCCCCTCTAGTGGCCATAATAGAAATTAACACATCGTTCCTATGCTCCTCAGCTCCCTCTAGTGACCATAATAGAAATAAATGCATTTTTACTATGCTCCCCAGCTCCCTCTAGTGGCTAGAATAGAAATGAATACATCTTTCCTATGCTCCTCAGCTCCCTCTAGTGGCCATAATATGGTATTTAACATATAGTACATTTTCTAATGGAAAAGAAAATGCACCAAAAACGTTGGTTTTTAAGCTCCTTTTGCACAGAAGGAATGCTCATGTGCAAATGATGTTCATGTGCACCTCACATTGACCTGCGAATTGTTTATAAATATACCAGCTATCACAGGCACTCGTCTCCGGCACAGACTGTGAGTGGTCACAAGGAGGAAAACTCATCAGCCTTATGAGCGCTTTCCTTTTAATAAAATAGGCAATGAGTCCCCCTTTTTACCGGCCATGCCCGCAAGATACCAGCCATGCGACAACTCTATTGTTACTGCAGCATCCACTAGGAATGGCTGCATTGCGATGATAGC